CTTATTTAGCGTGGCAACCACTGATATGGTTTGAATTTGCACTCGATGTTTCGGAGCAACCTTACGGTCCAACGCATTAGTACCTCCAACTTGTTCACATCGCCAACATTGCTTGCTGTAACAAATGCCAATGGAATTGAGCCCAGACTGACTGACAAATAGTGGCATAACACACTTCAAGACTTGTAGCTGAAATCCGTGAAATGGGATTGGGGTTTTGAGAATAATTGGAGGATCTACGAAAAACGCACTCCACAGTAGTTAAAAGCACAATTCATGCCAAAAACGAAACAAATAACCTCTCGTTTTCGTTCCGTATCCGGAATCCCAAAAAACTAAACCATTTCGGCCAACTATATCAACATCAGTGTGACTCCAGGTACTAAAGTACAAAACCAAATCCTCATTTGGCATTTGGAAATTCCAAAACAAATAAACCAATCAAAATGAGCATAGATGAATTCTCCCTCAGTGGGTGAAAAAAAAACCCCAGTGATTTAAGAAGAAAATACAGAGCACCCTTTATCAATACTTAGGGAAAACATTGGCTCTACGAGGCATCATCCTTATTGTCAATCCCGTTGGGATACCGCCTGCGATAACGCTCCACGACCTCCGGATCAACGAGATATGTGCCGTCCAACTGATTCCCTAGGGTTATCCTAAAACATGAGGGAAAAGGAGAATGAGACACATAGAGCAACACAGCGAAGGTTAGCGGAAACCCCTAGATGGATAGTGTCTAGTTTACCAGACGAAATTCATCGCATAAAGGGAGAGATTTTAAGCGATCAGTCTAGCAAACCACTTCAGCTTACAACACTGAATCAAAAATGAGAATACGCTAATCTGAGGCGCTGGATTAATTAACAGAAAATTAACTTGATAGAAAAGGATTCTTTCCATTGCTGATTCGACAGTCACATTAGAAGGTGCACGATGGCAGCCCTCCGTGAATCTCCTGGAAACAGAACAGCATTCACTTTGAGTATTGTCACGGAGTGTAGCAAGCTTTTCCGCCCTTATTCTCAGGATATTGAGCTCCAGTCATAGCATATGCCACTACCCTTCCAGCCCCTGTGCCAGCAGACAATAATGCTACTTCCATAACCATACTGAACAGTGTCTACTCAATTAGCTGAAGAGTTGAAATTTTACGAAGATGAACAACTGCTGCGCCAACGGTAAGAAAGTTGTGAGGTACGATAAGATGACGCTTATGTCTTCTCATCAAAAGAATCATAGGCATAACAACAAAGATTTGATAGACATCGCCGGTAGATACAGTCGGAACCACATTACAGACCAGCATTACTCATCAAAACGCGATTTCAAGCGTCTCCTACAAAAGCATTGCAATTATGACCTATCACTCTACTGACAAACAAAAAAAGTGGACGTAAACAGAATGCTAATAAAAAAGAAATCCAAATAAACCAAAAAAGCAATGCATATTTACAAGATGAAATTCAACTGAAGACCACTATGGGATAGCAGTTCAATACTCGCTCAAGAAACATTCTGAAACGATCAAGCAACGAGGGTAGAGAAACAGTCAACCAATGCGAAGAGGTATTCCAATGCAATTAATGCGAGCCAAAAAAGAGACCGCCTCACCAGTTGGCCTGCAGATTGTGCGGTCGTCCAAAAAGCTCAAGTTTGCGAGTCCCCGGTGAGAGGCGCTCAATGAGGCCGTAGATCTCATCGGGTTTGCGGCTAGTTTCGCGCACCTCCGAGACAACCACATCACAGTCCAGCCCACGATTCATGCACCGCGGCGAGCCCTTCACGCCCACCAGACAGTGCTCTTTTCCGTGGTTAAGCCAGTGGCCAGTACGGCCTGTGCGGATGAGACGCTGCAGCTGGTTAGTTTTCACCCAAATCACCTCATCCACACGCTCGTAGCCCCAGAGTTTGAGGCACTCCCGGCCCAATTCCATGGCGCTGCAGTGGGCGCATTGACAAGAGTAGAAAACCACTTCGGGATTAAGCCAGTCATAACAACCACAAGCACCACTGTCAGCGCTACTTTCACCGGAACATTTTGATACCACAGTAAACATACTCTGCACATTCCGATGAACCATGATTACAACAAGGTCATCCAACCAGTTAAAAGTAATTTGAAAGTACTTGTTTTGGGGTTAAACATTTTTTGCCTATGAACGGTCGAACGTTGCTCCAGATTACCAGAACCAGGCAGAATCAGGGAACAGGCGTCGATTTGGCGTCACGGTATGACCAAAAAATTGACTTGAAGAGATAAATACCGATACCCAGCATAAGGTCTTTTGAAGCAGCCAATGAGCCGCATTACAAGTAAATATATTCAACAGGAACTGATCAGCAATCTGTTACTAGGCAGTTAAGCCTGAGGAAACGCGACAATCCTTCTACAAGATCATGCTGGATGACTAGCTAGTTAACAGCCTAGTTTCGCTGAAAAAGTTATTGTTTGAAGCAGATAAAACTAACCAAACATTATTCGCTAAACATCTGATTTAGGCACTGAATATCCCTTTAGTTCAATGGGAGGTCCAGAATAGGACGCTGAATAGATTTCAAAATAACGATATACTATGATTGTCAATAATGTTGCCAAAGTATACGCAGGAAGGTTAACTTAATACTACTGCGCAAACATTAAAACAACTCAGCAGGACCCAACTTAGTTTAATCATTATTCAAATGCACTCAGCTTTAGCTCAATCAACCAACTTCATAAAGTACGTACCGTCCAGTGACCCAGAGAAATATATATCCGTCGTCTTGGAGACAGGGAATGTCCATTTTCCGCATCTCATCATCGGACATTGTACCATATGGCAGTTCCATATGGATGTCCCACGGTGGATCGGCCATTATCACAGCGAATTTGCCAAGAATGGTCATGTCAAACTGCCTGATGTCGCACTTTATCCACTGCAGAGGGAAACATGCATCAACGTCAATAGCATACAACAGCAATTAAAGCCATGCTAGAACTAACTGCTACCCGATTAATACAGATCACACGAAATATGTGACAATGCTACCTGTGGAGGGTACAAGGGAACGGAAGTGGTTGCAGAGACTGCCTTTTCCAGAGCCAAATTACTTTTCCCCCTGTCCAAACTATCCGGCCGAAGTTGACCTCGGTTATAAGCGCCTGCAGCTTCTCTCGCCTCTGCTGTTGTTAGATCGGCTGGGTCAATTTCATAGTGGACATACTACAAAAAATTAAAAATAGGTGATTACTTTACAGAGATGGCACCAAATGTGATATGCATATGATGCAGGCTCGCCTCCACTAGACTAGCTCAAGGCAACAGTCTAAAGCTCAGCTACTGCAATAAAAAGAACTACCGCGTACTTTGCATGTATCGACATGAAAGCATGTGTTGAGGAACGAGCAATCACCCAGAGATTCTGCGAAACAAAACAAACATTAAATAGTTAATCACTCAATCAACCCTACCATCAGTATGGGCTTGAATAATCTTCCTAAAGTGGAGTTTTTTGCATTCCTTGTTTCCAGTGCCCTGCTGGCACTCGACACGTGTACCATGTATGCAAAAGAGCTGGACTTGGCTGCCGCCACGAGATTGAAACTTCTTATTAAGGATTTTTTCCTTAAGGCAGGAAGAAATAAAGAGGTATGACCAGACAAACCATCACAGTCGGTGTCGAGAGAAGCGCATGAATCTCCTCGTTAACACGTTTTAGCTCGCGTTCTTTAGCGGTAACGGCTGACAGGAGGATTTCAAGATCGGCTGAATCAGTACCAGGATCCACTTTGGGTGCTTCCGAGGGAGGCTCATTAGAGCTAACATAATTTTCCTCTTTAACCGCTACATTCATAACATCAGGGACGCATTTTCGACTGAGTATCAAGTGCTATATGGGAAAAGTGAAATCTTACGATGAATCGGAGAATTTAAGCGAATCTAGACGTGGAGCGGTCGTTTGTTCATGCTCTAATTACAAAGCAAAGTATAAGCAACAAACAATAAAATATGCATGAATAGTTAACGCAGAACTGGTAACAAATAACTAACCTAAATCGGCCCGTTTGAGTGAGGACGATGCATCGGTTACACTTTTGGACGCCAATGGCGTGGTTAAAGACACCAAGGTCTTAGGCAGCTTTCCAGATGCTAACAATGCTGCAACGGCAGAAGCGTCAGGGTTCTTAAGTGGAAGCGCATTTTGTGTGGCTGCAGCGATCAAATTATTCCGCTTCTGCCTTCGTGCTGCCAATCTCTCGCGAATCGACTCGGTTTGGGCCCGAGCTGCAGCGATGTCACTCTCAGTTGAGCCCTTCCGATCGGACATTACTTACGCAGGGAAGACCCGGGAAAATAGCTGGGGACCATGAGACGACAGAAGGGCTATTACGACAGATGATTAACGCGCAAAGGCTACTTGTGCAGCACTGCACAAGTAAGCTGAGTAAAATAACTGACCTTGGCGTAAATACTAAGCCAAATATGCTGTCAAGGTTTCTAATATTTATTTTGAGTGGTAAAAGAAATGACAAATTTCTTCAATACTTGAACCGGCCATGAAGATCCACCATCATTCATTTTCATAGATGTCTTCCTGCATTTACCTGTCCTCTCCAAAATATTAGGCTAAAAGCTAGTAAAATAATAAAAATGAAAACTTACAATTCTTTATGTTATCATCCAAATCAAGTTTGCAATGTTTTGGTAGCAAGCATTACTTACGGCCATGGACAACCAAGCCTATTGTCAATAGCAATAAGCAAAATTAAAGGCTAAACTGCTTATAATCGGCTTTTTGCAATAATAATGCAACGTCTTGCAGCTACTTTGTATATGTTATGCTGTTTACTTTCAAAAGATTTGTTTTAATACACCACGAGTTAATTTATGCATGGGTCACCAATCATTTGGAAGTGGGCTGCAATACGGATCCCTCTGTCATAAAACCGTGGCAGATATGGTACCCTCTTCTTCCCATTTGAGGCCCCTTTAGCTACAGCATATATGGTCCGTGCGTGTTGTTAGTTTTATTTACAACATATATGCTTGAAAGAGTGTTCCTCAGTTGTATTTGTGATAGAATATTATAACCCGGTTTTTAGCATTATGAAAGTCTTAGACGCTATTCTGACGGTTACTGATATAATAGCTTTGCTTTAATTGTAGCGTCAAATATTTGCACATGTATCTTCCTGAATTACTTTCGATTTTGCGTTATTTATTCCTATGAGAGTTCCAATCCCAAATCTGAATATTCAATAATCGAAGGACTTTGCTACGTTGACATCTGCTTTTTAAAACTTCTGTGCAATTTTGACTAAGTTAGGTTTCTTTACTTTTAATGCTGTGAGCTTTCTTTAAATGCCTGGACCATTGCCCACCTCAAATTTTAAATAAAGCTATTTTCTTTATTCATGTGTTTTAGTGTTCGTTTATAGTACTTTCAGCTTAGGGATACTTTTTAAGAATGCTCTGTTGCATAACATTGTCGACCATTCTTTTCGCGATCATAATTCCTGGACTTTAAACGCTTCCGTATCAATGAGACCATTATCGAAATTTTGCCAGACCAAAATGCAGTCACTTCTTTTGCAAATTATTCAAAGGGTCTTTTTGGAAAAGTTCAACTTTGGATTTCTGCCTCTTTAGACATTTCACTTAGATATTTTATTGTTGGATTCACAATTTTGCTAAAAATTTTGAAACGTCGCCTTATTTTTTTTTACTCATTTGCTTACGATGGGAATTAAAATGACATGTGCTGGAAAGGATTTTATCCTTTGGGCATTTAATTTTGTAGAAAAGGGGTTTTTTGATGTGATTGGGTTTTGTATGTTTGTAGTCTGTGTTTGCCAACCTCATTAGAAATTCTCAAGACGATTATAGTCAAAACTTAAGAAAAAGGTGTTTGTCTGCTAATCAGAAAGTATCATTTTGTATAGATGCAGCTGAGTTGAATATTTTTAAGGAAATAATCCAATATTGCAAAACCGTTTCGTATCTTTTACTATTATGAAATCAGCATAAAATATTTTAACTATTTTTAAGACATGGTTGTTTCACTGTCGTTAAAATTCCTTAAGGTCAGTTACAAAAGAACTTGAATTAGGCAGACATTTGCCACTTTGCCCTTCCAAACAACTAACCGATTTAGCCGTGTTTTTTAGCCGAAGTGCATCCCACACTTTTACCTTCTCAAATGCGCATATCTTAAGCAAAAGTTAACCTCCCTTTTTACACTTTTCCTCTTCAAGACCTGAATGTAGTATCTAGTGCTTCCATACACGGTAAATTTGGAGCTAGGTTTCAAAAGTTTTACTCGACGCCCATCAAAGAACATCCCTTAACCATTTTTACAACAGGAGTGGTAAGGAGTTTGACGGGTGTGTCACTGCGTGTTATGGGTAAGGCAAGAAGAAGCCACTCTGGTGAGCAATTAAAAGTAAGCAAGGATTTCCTTTTTACTTTACTTTACTTTATTGTTTTGTTGGACTGGGGGGTTATACGGTTCAAATGCAACAGCCAATGTCCATCGCATGCGGGATTAGCGTGAGTGCTTGGTTTGGGAGTGGATAGTACTGATATTTAACATTAGCAATCTGCACGTGCATAAGTTGACATCGAATATACTACTGATGAGGTTGTAGCTCCCGCCTAGTAGTTTGGTACTTTTCTCATGTTGTTTGGATAACTGGTCCTTTACTGAAGTGATTCTTAGAGGCTGTGGAAAAGAGTTACTCTGAGCCACTTTGTCTGCTAATAGTGTATCTCTTGCGAAATCATTGACTGCAACCTTTCAGCTTTCTTCTTAACTACTAAAAGTTGCCTAGACCTAAAACCTTCATTCATCTTTTGTTTCCAGATATACCAACTAATGATTGAAATTTCCGCAGAAGTTGCGGCTGATATATCTAAAATGGTTAAGTAAAACGCAAAAATGAATGTAAGTAAAATAGTGGGGCGACGTAAGGCATGTAATTCCTTACAGTTCAAGAGTTGTCGTACTTTACTCTCTACTCAGTAGTCCCCAATCATCCTGTAGCTCGACGTGTCTGGTTAGACATTGAGGTGAGTGGAGAGAAGAACAAACAGGCATAGATGCCGGCAGATGGACCAACGAAAGCAATGGGTGCCCACATCGATCATTACTGCATGGCTTTGGTCGTTCTAGCGCTGTTCAAGAAGAAAATGCGAAGCAGTGGTTGGTTGCCGAAGCATGAGAGAATCCTTGACCGCTCATTTTCAGACCATTGACACCAAAACAGATGTACTCTGGTTAAAAATTTTTAAACTTGGGGAAACCACTCTGATGTTACCAAAAACATGCAGAAGATTTAGTGCGACCCCATTTGTAAACAATTATGCTGGACCAGATCTTGCCATTGTTGGATGGAATCCAAAACAAGTGAGGAAGAAGATTACGTGGAGTATAAGTATATGACTTCTTCATCATTTATACAGAGGCGGGAACCACCTATCAAGTCCCTTCACTATTACCACCTTTGGAATCATTGAGATGGCTGCAGGAAGGTGACTATCTGCTACCTTCACCCTTTTTGTCCACCCTATCTTGGTTCTAGCTCAGGTCTGTACTCCAGTAGTTCCTGATGAACTCACTTGTCGTTAATACCAATATTTTGCATCAGGACAAATAATTCAGATGCCTCCTTCTTTCACTTTGATTTTGTGTGAATGCCAAAATGCTTAAAACCAGTACCGTTTTGAAGGCACTGTACTTCATAAATATAGTGAATGTCAACAGTGAGCAAAATGATTGTTGATTTTCCAGAATGTCAAAAAGATTTTCTGATTAACGTACTGTTTTGGGGCAAGGATCTAATGCAGAAACGAAAAGGACATTTCATTCTTGTTGATCAAGTAAAACCTCCAATAGTAGAAAGTGTCAAAAGACCACACTTTTATTGTCATATTAAAAGCAAACTTTGCAAAAAATGACCTTTATTTCTTTTAGTTGCATTTAATTCCCGACCAACCACTCACGTTGGTCATCTCAACAACCTCTTTAATGATGCAGTGCGGTGTCTCAATCGCTTCCAACGCCCAATTCTTAGTCGAACTGTACAGTGATGCGGATCTGATAGAATAGCATTCTTTATCTCTTTGCGTACGCCAGTACACCTGTTAGAATTTGCAACCCATCACCATTTATTCTGCTGATCTGGCCATCTGCACTGACGCAAAGTGCGGTCCACCCTCCACCATGCCTCTGCAGCCACATGGCCTGGCAGCTAGTGCGCTATTGCTTGTCAGCTTGCATCTAATCAGTAGCAACTATTTTGCAACATATTAGATTTTCGTTAGGTGCCAAGAAGTGGCCAAATAAGCTGCGTACAGTTCCTAAATATTATTTTTATGGTATTTAGTTTGAAGGCATTGTGTTCTTGTTTAGAGTTAGTGTTGCTTCCCTTGGATGTGCTTTGCTACTTACAACTCATCGGTAGTGCTTTCCACTTAAAGCACCCTTAAGCATATGCTTTCGATCTTCTTGCTCCTCTAAGTTACTTTATAGCATATGTTGCCTTAAGGATGCCCTCTAGTGTTTTATTTTTTTAGCTGCAAAGCTATTTTGATGATCCTCTTTCTACTTAATAATTTTACATGTGGGCGATTTTTTTACAGATTAGCACAGTTTTAAATATCAACATAGAAATTAAAGTTGTTCGACCAAATCAAATGAGTAATAATGAAGTGGAGAAAGCCCTGTTCTTGTGAATTAGTTCCTTTACGTGTTTCCTAAATGGCACTCAGTTCCCCACTTAAGGGTAAAGCCTGATCCCGGGCCTACAACTATCCGGAAGCCAGTTGGAACCCTCCTGCCTCTCCCAACGGCCAGATCGAAGGGTATGCAGCTGTCACTGTGGAACCCTATCGATATTGCTACAGCGATAGTCTGTAATACCGTCAGTGCTACATCTATAATTTGCCTGCCAATATAACTCTGAAAGTGTATGCCTTTGCGAGCAACCTCCCCAACGCACAACGGCACGGTGGCGGCTGTGGCTCTCTCTCGAACATGACCATCGCAAAGATGTGGAACTGGGTTTCATACAATTTATTTAACTTTTCAATGAAAGTCTCTATTATTGGAGTTGAGTAGACGAATGTTGATCTTGTTTTAGGACTGGACGAAGAATTTATGGTGGCACTGGCCGCAAATAATTTCGCGGGTGTAGGGACTGCGGCTGAATCCACCAAATCTATATCACCGTTTTTTTACCAAATTTGCCTATGTCAATGTCGGAAACAGGGCCATTGAACAATATCAGCCTTGCGGTGCAATTGGCTTGCTACTATGAAGGTGGTGAGAGCCTTTTACTCCTTTTGTGTGGTAGTTACCTCTACAATGATGGAGTCTTTCACAAGCATTCGATTTTAGACGCAAGTGAAATATCCAATTCCACACCAAATCGAGTAGATGATGTTTTGTTCTCCCTACATTGCAGATGGTTTAACCAGGTTTCTTCTCTTGGTTTGTAAGTCTTTAGGATGCCATTTCGTAGGATTCCTTATGAAATCATTCGTGGATTTTTGTTTGTCGTATGCGGACTAAAAATATGCCAAGTAGCATTTTTATGCTCACATTTTACAGGAAATTTGGAAAAATCATTGTTGTTTCTCGGAGATAATACTTTTCATCTGTTACAGCCTTATGGAGGCCACGAGGTTTACGAGGGTTGGGAAGTGCTAGTCACTGGGACTGAGGACGGCATGCAAGTAGAATCCCTCCTCAACTCGCTGTTTGTGCTGGGTGATGGAACAGGATTTTCTTGGAACGGTTAATACTTTAATGGTCCTCCACAATCCAACACCAAATACGCGTATGACTTCCCCATTTATTTGGTTGGAGTAGGCGTCATTATGTTTTTAAAGAGTAATGTTGTTTTCTGCTTGGAGGGTCAGGCTGAGACTTTACTCACCGCTTGGCTATGGTACAATGCGATAAGTTTTTATGCAAACCGCAGGTAGGAAAATGTCCAGAAATTCTTATCACCCTTAAAATAGAGAGGTAGTAGCAAGAAGCACTTCCGTTTGTTCATAACTTATGGTGTCATTTTCTTAGAGGAAATGCGTCTTCACTCCAAATGCACTACAGGCATATTCTGGCATATTTGCAAGTGTGTAGGGGAGTTTATAGTTTGTCCCTTATCATTTAGATGTGCCAGTTGATACTCTAGTGATTATAGGGATTCCCATAAGGGGTAGTCGTGTTGTTTATTATGGTCTTCACACTCTATAAGCGCCTTAAACTCAAACGTATCCAGTGGCAAATTTCAATGGAATCAGAAGAATGTTTCGCATGTGGAAGATCCAAAGATAAGATTTGGCTAGACGGGTAGATACTATCCTCTATTTTTCAGTCAATTTGCTTTTCAAATAGCCTTGATTGTTTATTTCATACGTGTGATGCTGGAAAGGTATGTATTCCTTTGCCGATATAGTCAGGAGAGAAGTCATTTCGCTCATCGTTCTTTTAAAAGGCTCTGATATGTTTTAAATGATTCTTTTGTGGGAGATGTGAGAAATGTGATCTCCTTTTTACCATTTTAGAGAACTTTATAAACACAGCTCCCCGAGGTAGGTCATATTGCTTTACTTAAATATCTGACCACAAACGGATTTTAGTCAATTTTTGGGATAACAGTATGCTCCACAGAAAGCGTGTCTCGGTTCCCAATATTGTCAGTCATAACGAGAAGGCAAGTAAGACTAGCGTATCGTCCCGTCTTTTTTGGAGTCGTGATAAAACATGCCACGATGGAGGTCTGGCTCATTATAAGCATGCGCAAGAGCAACGGAGCCATATTCTATTAAATAAATTATTTTACCTAGCATTCAAGATGACTTCTTTTTGTTTCTAGATATGTAAAATTTAGTATCTCATGCATTCACCCAGAGGAGTTACTGTAAACAAAAATTTAGGTTATTTCTGGGAAACGATGGACTGAAATTGTACCTAGCACCGAGTAAAAGTTATCAGTTAATGAACTTTTCGTGTTTCACAGTTGGTCATGGAGGATTTCAATGCCTATGTATTCTACTTTCTCAGTAGACCGAACCACAATTTAAACAGTCGGTATCGAGTAGGGGTATTGGTTAAACGGACAAAAAACTGCAATTTAGTAGAAAATTGATGAATAATGCTTTTGAATGTTGGACATTTGTGGAGGGGATATCGTGAGGTAACTTGACAGAAATAAGCGAATGGTGTAAAAAGGATAACTGGGTATTAGTATCCCAATTAAATTCACCTAGCAATAAAATAGCCATAGTATTTGTATAGGCTGTAACTTTCTTCCATGACGCAAGCTAGCTGTGCATTCCACAGTCTTGCCCTAGCCACGTTTATTTCCATCTCAGCAGTTTTGCTTCCCTACTGCTTGTTTTGTGTGTTCACGTGGCTGATTCCAAAAATGGTGATGATCATTATCTGGGCGGAAATGCTAAGGTAATATGAAATATAAGGCAATATTTCCTTTCACTTAAGGGTATGAATCACTGATAAGTTTTATGGCAAGAGATATGAGGACATTTCTACTGTTGTGTAAAATATGACAGTAGGCACAGCCCTCTGTCGATGAAGTGATGCATGGTTCAAATGTGTGGGCATGTAGTGAATGGATGGTTTGTGTGATGTCAATCGGCGATATGGTGGTTCGCATAGCAAAAGTGGGAAGTTAATACCCACCTTCCCTTACCAACTGGCACATCACTTTTCCATAGCATGCGCGAGAAAAGTGAGGAAGGAATTTGCATTTTTCACTGCATGCAAAACCCGTTTGCTCATCGCTTTGGCCCATTCAAATCCTCTTCGAAAGCAGAAAAAGTGATTGACTTCAATTCAGTATCACTCTACATCTCTCCTGTCATCTGAAACACAAGTGGTCTCTCTGCTGCGCGATTTAATGTTACAACCATTTATGCCATATGCTGTCACATATTGGTGACGTGCAGCATCAGTTAAGAGGATTGAGTCGTCACGTACGTAGTTGTATCTAAATTACCAGAAGCATGTTTGGAATGAGCAATTCCAAATAATCTGTCTTTAAATGTTATTGTAGGTAGCAGCGAAGGGAACTTTATTTGTCAAATAAAAGAAAGATTATTTCCCCATTTTAACATTATTTCCGCATTCCATCTGCTGCATTATCTGACAGTGAAAGGATACAAGGTATTTCTTTCCGAAAGATTAAAAATTAAGTAAGGATCAGTGGATGACATATTTTAAATACCCCATATTCAAATGAACCTCAAATGCAAACAGAACCACGACCGGTTTTTTTATCGCGGTAAAGTTGGGTATGTCTTAGAATAAATACGGCGTTTTAAATTATTTGACTGATTATAGAACGTTATATTACGTGGGACTCCCAATATATACCAAGTGCATCAGTGGAAGTTCGTATTTCTCAAATGCCGAGGCTTTGATAGTTTTTAGCTTCTAAATTTATTATCAATCAACAGGCAAATCGTTTCCAACTGACTTCAAAAATAGCCGAACCACTCGTGGGCAAATTAAGACGTTTACCGCCTTGTCCGCTTCCCCTTTCCTTTTATTTATCCTACTACTATTCTGTTTTGAATGTCGTAAACGTCCAACCCTTAAAGAAACAGTTAACAAATAAGCAGTCTAAGACTTGAATTACTTCTACCTCCCCAAATGGTTGGTCCCTCGTTTTGTTCGGTTCGGCCTGGATCCAATTTTTAAGAGTCCTTAAATCTCAGAACTACGTGGCAATTTTTTGCAGACACTTATATTACCATATTGAAGAAGCTTAGTAGCAATTACCTTCGTGTGATACGATGAGCAGTCTGCTTCATCCCTACGCAAGAATTATGCACAATACCTCTTACTTTGACGATTATCGGAGGAGCATTACCGTAACAGCCGTTATCATCGACGCGAGCTGCATGTGAACGCCAGACTACGAGACGCAGTTCCGCAGTGGCTGTGTTACTCCCAACGATCAGCATCCTGATTTCATCGTTGCCGCATCGTCAACACGCAGCACTGTGGGTGATTTTCTCTTCATGCTGGTGCGGCAACGTGACAAACTCTTGATCATGCTGGATGAGTAAGTTCGTCTTTCTGCCTTCCTGTAGCAATGTTTACCTAATCAACAAGTTGCCTAAAGTGCGTAGTTAAAACTGATTTTATGGTGGAAAGGTAACAGCGTCTAAAATTTGGCCAAACTGGAAACGGAGTTGTATAAAATGGTGTTTCGATTTGAGTAAACCTCGAACTGATGGAGGAAGAAGGTAATGAAAATATCTTTCGCGGCAAGTTCATGTAAACTCCTCAAAAGCTGATACAACGTTAAAGCAGAAAACTTCAGGCAACGTCTACTTCGCCTAAAGGACTTGCATAACAAGTGGTAAATCACACTAGCCAATTTAGCTTGTTCTTGGTATTCCCTATCCATTTCTAATGCGAATGCGGGTAAATTGATTGACTAAATGGGAAGTTTTTTGGTTTGGCTCAGCTTGCAGGCGGTCAGTGAAAGCGCTGTGACGCCGATGGTGGTGAAGGATGAGGAGGAGAACTATGTAGCAACAGTTCTGGACGATTCTGGAAGGCACACCCTAAGTCGTCTTTGGATGATTGAACAAAGTTAAAAAGATGATACAGACTCGGTTAACCAACATCACCAGAAAAGAGACGAGGATTAAGCATCGCAGAAATGGAGCGGATTACGAAAGAAAGAGAGGTTGAGTTAAAAAAGAAAGAAATTTCGTCCCGTTGGTACAAACGCTTTGTATGGAAGGCATTTGGTGTTAATCACAAAATAAGAGGCGTATAAATGAATGTAATTCCGAGGTGGAAGAATTGGAATGGGATTCGCTGACAAGGCAAAAAAACAAATGCTAACTTATTTCACTACTCACCAACCACCTAAAGCCATCACTATTCCCAATAAAACAAAGAGTAGATAAATGGACAAAAGACCAATCACGTGAGCAGTAAATTGTGGCAATTATAAACACCATAAGGTGGACCTGAGTCATAATAAACAGACCAGAGGCGAGTAAGAGAATGTGGAATCTCAGTTCCAGCCGCCTCCAGTCCATCTATCCCGCCTTTCCTGCCA